ATATTATAAAATCGGAAAACTGTATTTCATGTTTCCATTAAAATACTGTCTCAATAATATAAATAGTACCTATTCAGTAAATAAGTGAGAACTACGTACCTGTAGATAAACCCCGATAGAAGTGTTAGAGGACAGTGATTGTAGACTTTGTAATAAAAAAATAAATTAAAAAAATATCTATCTATCCATATATTGACGATGATTACAGACGAAACTGAACTACTTTCTCAAAGAGATAAAGTCGAAATCTGAATGTTAATTTGGAACTGTTAATTATAAAGTGATCGTAACAATCATTGTAACTTTAAACAAACATATAAAATTTCAACGTGTCTTCTTTAGAAAAGTTATTTAGGTAGAAGTAGTTGGAACTGGGTTACCTCCCTGTTTGATTTATTTATAAATAATTAGCTTCCATACATGCTACATATAGCTAAATGTATTATACATATAAACCTTCCTCTTTATATCTATATAGATATTGCTTAAAACTGCATTAAAATCTATTGTGTAGTTTAAGAGATCGAATCGAACAGACAGAGGCAGCGAATTCATTTTATGATAAATAAAAATTTTACAGATAACTTTATGTTTAGGTATACTTTAGTATGCTAATTTTAATAAACATTACATATGTTTATATTTAATTTTTATGTTGTAATAAATATACATGCTGTTCTAAATAAATGTTATAAATTGTACCTAATTACTTTGTCATCCAAATATAACATTCGTTTTATTTCACCGTCTACCATTCGTCCCTATAAACACAGCGCTCATTATATATTTAAAGAGCTAATACGAATTCAAGCACGCAATACGAAGCGAGCGATAAAAAATAAAAATAACACCCATCAAAATACAACACGAAAACATGGCGGGGGACGCCGTGTCACGCTCAAGGGAAGTTTTGGCGCGAAAAATATTAAAATGCTTCGCATATACTCTGCTTCGCTTAGTTGGTGATATTCGGTGGAGTCAGGGAGTGGATTTTGCACAAAATTTAACGTATTTTCAACCGATAACCAAAGGGAGGAGATTTTAAAACGACATGTTTATTTTTTGTTTATTGCGCGATATCATTGTGATCTACTTCGATTAGTTGGTGATATTCGGTGGAGTCAGGGAGTGGATTTTGCACAAAATTTTATGTATTTTCGATCGATAACCAAAGAAAACAGATACAAAATGGACAAGTTTTTTTTAGTGGATGATAATGTGCACCCGCCTGCGCTAACGGTTTACGCTGGCTAGTCAGATCAGTTACCCCATTGTGACAAATTCACAGGAAATTTATCACTATGGTTTCGAGGGCGAACCGCGTGTAGGTCAACCTGACATGATACATTGCTAGCATCAGACGTACAATAGGTAATGTCAAGTAATTAGCATTAGGAAATATTATTATAATTATATTTATTTGTCCCAAAATCAACATTAATTATTTTAATTGTTAATGCGTATTAAAATAAGATATGTAAGTGCATATAAAAAATATGATCAGATTTGATATGCGTATTAAGATTGACTAGATTACGATAACATCTTTTGTAATTGTTTGTAGCTATTACTTTCTTATAATAAATGTTATTTATTACAAGACAGTTTAATTTTTATTTTTAATGTTTATTTTTTTCGTATTGTATTCAACTAAATTCAATAAAGAATTTTAAATCGTCTATTTATTTTTGTACTTTTGTTACTCGTGTTGTTTGCACAGACTGGAATATTTTTTAATATGAAAAGGTTTTCCTTCCCTCTTCATATCATAATAGTCAACGTTGATGTATAGCTTTCGTGGATTAATCTCAGATAATGTCAACATAAAAGTGTTTTTTATACGAAACAAAATCTATTTCGGTAATCACAGTTTACACGACTTAAGAAACTTACAGATAAACCCATTTATAGTATCCATGGTACCCATTTATAGTTGCTTGTCAATACATTTATGAAAATATCATGTATGCCAGGAAGAATATAGATATTTTCAAAAGAGTTAGTGATTACACTAATAAATGCTATGCAACAAAAACAAACTGATTTTACCTAAATGTCGTATAACTAAAGTTAGTAATTCGTTTTATGGCAATTACAACAAAATATCAGAGTCTGTTATAAATCTGCCTGAAAAAAGATTTAAATGTCATATAAAACATTTCCTTTGCAAAAAAAGCTTACTATAAAATTTAAGAATTCATTAGCGATAATAATATTCTAATAGAAAAACTTAAAATCCATAGCGCTGACAAATTCAAAAATCATTTATTCATGTAGAACATTTTAGCCGCTTATGAACGTCAAATTTTTTATATTCTAATTTAATTTTTTTCTCTACCGTCCTTTTAACAACATCTTTAATAAACAAGCACTAAAAATAGTACATTTTTACTCATTCCAGAATATTATTACTACACTTCAGTGTACACTGAAAATAGTGCACACGCATATTTTACGACACTCAATAAAAAAAGTATGCAAAATGTAAAATTTCATGTACATAAAGGGACTAAAATATACACCTGTAACAGCTACAAGTACATGTAGTCCAACCCTTTCCCAAACAAGTGTTCTCTCACACATTTGCATGTATATGACAAGCTTTTGAATACCATTAACATTTATTATACGAAACAATTTTCTGACATTCCAAGAATTTTACATATGTAATATGCTTTTTTACCCTAATATTATTAGAGTCGTATACGAACTCGTATGCGCTGTTCCAGTTTCCATCGAGGTAGACTACAAAAAATCCTGTCGTGGTACTTCAGTCTCACCTATTTCAGTCAACCAGTTTGATCCGTAGGCAGAAATACGAGCTCGTCGTATGCGCTGTTCCAGTTTCCATCGAGGTAGACTACAAAAAATCCTGTCGTGGTACTTCAGTCCCACTTATTTCAGTCAACCAGTTTGGATCGAGGCAGAAATACGAGCTCGTCGTATGCGCTGTTCCAGTTTCCATCGAGGTAGACTACAAAAAATCCTGTCGTGGTACTTCAGTCTCACCTATTTCAGTCAACCAGTTTGATTCGAGGTAGAAATACGAGCTCGTCGTATGCGCTGTTCCAGTTTCCATCGAGGTAGACTACAAAAAATCCTGTCGTGGTACTTCAGTCTCACCTATTTCAGTCAACCAGTTTGATCCGTAGGCAGAAATACGAGCTCGTCGTATGCGCTGTTCCAGTTTCCATCGAGGTAGACTACAAAAAATCCTATCGTGGTACTTCAGTCTCACCTATTTCAGTCAACCAGTTTGATTCGAGGTAGAAATACGAGCTCGTCGTATGCGCTGTTCCAGTTTCCATCGAGGTAGACTACAAAAAATCCTATCGTGGTACTTCAGTCTCACCTATTTCAGTCAACCAGTTTGATCCGTAGGCAGAAATACGAGCTCCTCGTATGCGCTGTTCCAGTTTCCATCGAGGTAGACTACAAAAAATCCTGTCGTGGTACTTCAGTCTCACCTATTTCAGTCAACCAGTTTGATCCGTAGGCAGAACTTCGGTTAAATGATGGAATAAAAAAAAATATTGGAAACCTACTGATAATGTTGACTAAATGTCCTTGAAATTCAAATTCAAATTCAAAATATCTTTATTAATGTAGGTTTATTACAGACTTTTGACATATCAAATCTACCGTCAGTTCGGAATGATTTCGTTATGAGAAGAACTGACAAGAAACTCAGCTCGTATTCTTTTTAAATAAATGTACATGTTTACAATAATACACAGATTCATTCAAATTCAAATTTGGAATATAGTGACCACCAGCATATGTTATTGCAAAAAGAAAAAATCAGCTTTCGTAACCTAAACAGACCAGTCCTCAAGCAGCACCCGTTCACGAGTATGACGGATTATGACGGATTTTATTATTATTATTATTATTTTCTCTTTTTGTGAAGCTGGTGATTAGTAGTGAAGACACGACTTGCCAAGTCTCTCATTACTTTATTTTGCGTGATGATGTTCATTTTTATTCTGTTGTAGCACTTAGGAAGTGACGGACCATTGCACATGTATCTAAGTAAACAGCCTTTTGCAGTGTAAGATTAGTTACACTGCAGAAGGGATAGATAGTAGATTAGTTTATTTAATTTCAGATCTTCTATTGCTTTATGTAGCGTTTTAGAAATAGTTCCTGTAGTTGATAATATTACTGGTTTTTTTTTTATTGTTGTCTCATTTTATAAGCGTTTACTATTTTTACGCTTTGTGGTTTATACCGCTTACAACTATTACTTTTTTTGTAGAAATTTACATATAAATATTTTGCTTTATATTTATGTATCTCTTTTTTTGACATTTCTCATTTATATTAGTGCACCGCCATTATGTACGTATATTATTATTTTTATAGAATTATATATATAAATATTTTGCTTTACATTTATGTGTCTCTTTTTTGACATATCTCATTTATATTGCACCGCCAACAATCTTTCTCTGCACCACTCATGGTTGCCTGGTAGAAAACCGATAGGTATTAAGTTCGCCATATGTACACATTGTTTTTGTGTATTAAAGTTAAGTAAATAAATTATTATTCAATTACAGTATATAGACACCTCATTAATCATATGTACATTTTATCTGCTCTTTTTTTTCTCGTTTGTTGTTTATATTGTATTTTTTACATTGCACAGAATAAAATATGTTTCTTTCTTTCTTCTTTCTTTCTTTTATCTCAGTCATCTGGAATGGCAACGCATTAAGAGTATCACAGTTACTTTTATACTTCCATTTGGTAAAGAAACACAACCCATCTGATGGTAAATAGTTACCATAGCCTATGGACGCCTGAAACACCAGGGGTATCACGTGTATTAAGAAACCTTACTATAAAATGAGGTTTTTAAAGAAGTTTTAATAATAAAAATGTTTAAAAACTAATTCAATCATAAAAAAGTATTATAAAAAATAAATTCACTTTATTACAACAGATACGGAATATGTTAAGTTGACAAATATTTTTTCGGAAAATATATGTAAATTTCACGCCTTCAAATGTAGCTCGGGTGCGTATTTGAAAATGCAAGCAGTAATTTCGTTCCCAAGTTGACACGGAGTTTCTGTGCTATGGTTGACCTGTGAATTGATAAAAATAAATTAAACTTTAACATATATTATAATTATGTTCAATTTCAATTACTCTGCACTCAAACGACTTTCCCAACTGATAATAGACTATCATGAGTATCTTCAACGGATTTACTTAAATAAAGATATACATGTTTTTGTAAAGTCAATAATATTGTAAACGAAAATAATGAAAATTAATAATTATTGTAATAATCTATACATATATAAATAAAATTTTAGTGTCTGTTTATAATATTGAAATAAACGTTTTTTACATTATTTATATTCTATTTCTATTTCATTATTACCGTATTTATATTCTACATGCATATGAATATAAATACGGTACATTTTTTGTCTGTCTGTCTGTTTGTTCCGGAAAAAAAATATTTTGTTTTAGAAAAATAAAGTTAATTTCCACGCAGGCGAAGTCGTGGGCACAGCCAATTATATATATAATCGCTCGGGCGAAGCCGGGGTCGGTTACTAGTTCATGGATAAAACATATGTAGTTCTGTAACTATCTATTTTAACAAATAGATAGATATATAGATATTAATATACACTTAAAAAACCTCAGGATATAGAGTGTAGTTGTTCACTCTACGATCCATTAGATAGGAGTCGAATCAAGGTCTGTCGAAACGCGAAGTCATGTGTTAAATAGCTGCACTACCTGCATCCTGAATATCATATATATATACGATATTATATCGTAAATGGTAATTTTTTTTTTTTAAATTTTCCATTCTAATAAGTTTCGTTTAATAATAAAATAATAATATTGTTGGACTGTACACACAGCGCCTACTAGTCCCAAGTTAAGCAGAGTTTATGTAATGAGTACTGGACAACTGAAATAAATACATTTTTTTTTGTATATACTTAACACCCAGATCAAACACAATCAAACACAAACAATCATACTCATGACTACAAATGTTTGAACCGTGCGAGGATTCGAACCCGCGACCATCGGAAATAATGCGGTTTGCTAAACCACTAGACTACCGAAGCCGTTAAAAATAGTTAGTAAAAACTTTAACAAAACTAAAAAATAGTTTTACAATAGTTTCAGAATATCTTTCACGAATGTCAAGAGCGAGGCGTTCGGTTAAGAGTAAGTAGGTACGTCTTGTCCACCCAATCTTGAAACCAATATTAAATTTAAAACGAAACTTTACACGCAAAACTTTAGATTAGTTCGTTTGAGAATCTTAAATTATTTTAAGCATTCATTGAACGTTGTCGATTAGAGTTTAGAAATTTCGCTTGGTTAATTGTAAAAGAATTTTCTGGTACATTAATACGCGAAAAAAATTTCTACCACTTTTTATGAAACTTACGTGGACGGTGTAGTAGGAAATCGCTCACAATTATTATGTAGTTTGTTACGAGTACAAACTCCCTCGGCCTTATTACAAAAAGATAAATCTGGTTTAGCACTAGTAATAAACCATTCACCAATGTATTCCTTATTACAAAATGGAGTTTGTATTTTTGCATTTAGACCACTGTTAAACTAGGGGCATCGCAGGTCTAACTTTAGACCATAGACGAATCATGCCCCTAGTTTAACAGTGGTCTAAATGCAAAAATACAAACTCCATTTTAAAAATTCTATTGTTAGTTGTAGTTTTTGGAAAAATATTTTAACTAAATTAAAAATATATTAACTAAAAATATTTAAAGCAAATTTTACGACAATAAAAACATATAAAAGACGTTAATTGTTATTTTTTCACTCATTTGACTTTGAAATAGTCATCATTCGAACGATCCAATAAAAATATCTCGCCGTTCCTTTTCTCCGTATAGGACTCCTACATGTAATTTAAAACTGATTTTCAGCCTAATAGTACATTAATAAATATTATATATTAATGAAATAGTTATAATGAAGACATAGGTAAATAGAAATAAATTTATTTTTAGTTTATACATTTTTCTTTGAACTAATATTATTTTTGATCTTTTCAGTTTTCTGGTAAAATGGAACGTAATTGTACGGTGACAGACATGAGTGACTGATTTCTGTATGGAATACATAATGAACGATTTAACTGTAGTACTAAGTAGTCCTCTGTTAGATCTGGATTCGTAATAATGTTAGGTTTATTCCAAGTATTAACTTTAGGAATGGTTTAAACCACGACCATTTAGACCACGTTTCGTCCGAGTTTTAACAGATTTTTTGTAATGAGACCGCCTAAGTCCATACTACCTACCTGTAGTTACACAATCTGTATGGATACCGACTATTCTTGGATAGCGATTGTTCTTGGAAAGTCCCAACTTTCTAACAGTTGCTGACTCAAATGAGCGGCATCCAAGAAGTACGAGAACAAAGGATGGTAGGACGAGCACTCTAGTTTTAGTCGCGAACGCAAATAGGTTAATTTAGTATAAGACGAATCCTATTAATAAATTGTAAGTTAGAATTAAATAAATAATTTAAATGAACTTTCTTTGCTTTTAAAAAACCCATCACCGATCGTCAGTACGTAATTGGTTAGTGCAGAATGCTAATATATTTTTATTTCTTAAAAATAAATATAATTAAAAAAAAAAATTAAAAACACAACACTAGGTACCATATTTGACATACGCACGGGTACTAGATAACTGATATAAATACGTCGATATATATTTTTTTCGCAAATACATATATATTATACATAGTAAATACACAGACCGATACATTACAATCATATTAATAAATACAAATATTTGTACCATGCGAGGAATCGAACCCGAGACCATCGGAAGCAAGGTGTGCTAAACTGCTAGCAACCGAGGCCTATATATAGTATAATGTAATGTGTTTGTTTGATTATAAACAATAGGGAACTACTAAAATGTTAAATGTTAAAATGAAATTTCGAGTTTGAATTTTGCTGTAACAAACAAGATCTTTCTATAGAATTATTTTATGACAAGCATTCCGTTGCGTCCTCGTTTGGGTACTTACTTTTGTGAGTTTTATTTATTTTAACATAATATAATCGCGAACGAGCAACAGGTCAATGTGACTAATTTCATTCCGGCTCAAAACTTCTATAATGGTTAAGGTATTATAGAGCCTGGTGAATTTCAGCTGCGGTTACGAGGGTCATGCTTCATAACCCATCTTCAAAACCACAGCTGATTTCACCAGGCTTCCTAATACAACTACTTTAACCATTTCAAAAGTATTCGACCAAGATAAAATGATTGACTAAATAAGCAGCTGGCTCGGGGACTACAAAAGTCTGAACTATTTCATTTTGGAATGAAATTTTCAAACAAAAATTTCTTTCTTTTTCAAAGTTATCCAGTAGTGCCGGACTTTACTATTCTTATAACAAAATCCAATCTCTCTCTTTAATTACAGTATAACTACTTAAATACTTAGTACTTAGCTACCTTAATGACTTTTCTATGCTAATGTAATAGCATATATTAGCTATATATTTAACTAGAGTTACTATGGCGCAACACCTGACAAATTGCTGTGTATATAATAATTTTATGACACCAATAGAATAGAATAGAAAATCCTTTATTCAAATAAACTTAATTTAAGCACTTTTGAATAGTTATTTATAATCTACAGCTCATTCGGAGACCTTTCTCATCGCAAGAAGAACGAGCAAGAAACTTGCGTGTTGCTCTTTTACAGAAATTTAACTTTACATTTTTATATTGTGTTGTGTGAATATAAAATACTAACTACCACTAATCTATTAGGGTTAAAATGTTATTTACACAATAAGATTGTTGTGAACAAGCAGAACTCGTTCACAAGTATGACGGATGAGTCGGCCATCACTGCGCTTGACTAAATTTTAGGGAAGTAATACTAGAAGACCGCGAATTATCCGGAAACTATGTTCTTATGATGAGGCAGCTTTACGAACGAGTGGTAGATAAAAAAACCTGTTATGACTACTCAAAAGTGCTTAAATTAAGTTTAAATAAATGATTTTCTATTCTATTCTATTCTATTCTTTACTCTTACCTGAATACAATATTGATGAATGTATTTGGCTTACTTGTATGATCATTACATATTCTTTAACGTTATTTATTTTAACACTTTATATTGCTTATTGAATAAAATATCTACACTAATAATTATAAAGGAGGAACCGGAGATTATTCTGAACAAACAAACATACAAACATGTTGGTTTATTCTACTGATCCGATTGAAAAATCTTTCAGTGTTAGAATAGTATTTTATCCCGAGTACTACAGGCTATAATATCACGCTTCGACCAATAGGAGCGGAGCAGCAATGAAACATAGCAAATAAATAATATAATTTCTTATGAATGAATGAATGAATTATTTGCGAAGATGTTTTTATAAACATGATATTATTTCTTATTCAAATAAATACGTTACCTATAATAAGTGTTTAATTTTGAACAAAATGCCCTATCAATTTTTTTATATCAACAATCACTTTAGGAGATATCTTAGTTTAAATAAAAGAAGAACATCAATTATTGTATGTATACTAGCTGTGACCGCGGTTTCACCCGCGTTAAATTTCAGTATATAAATTTCAATAACAATATAGCCTATGTGCTGTGATCCATAAGCTATATTACTGTAAAGTTTCATCAAAATCCGTTCATTAGTTTTTGCGTGAAAGAGTTACAAATATACATACTCACAAAATTTCTCATTTATACTAGTATATTGATAAAAGTCCGAAATCGCTTGCCGTAAGTGCTTAAATTAATTTTATTTGAATAAATGATTGTTTCTATTCTATTCTATTCGTAGCATAAGTCTATTTAGTATTTTTTCTGTAGTAATACTATATTTTTAAATGCTTCCCAGTACTTTCGTGTTTGCTTGGCTGGTAATAAAAATAAGTAAGCTAGCAGCCAGGTTAATCTTTTTCTGTTAGGTTACACAGGTAAGCCAGAGACCGGATATTTTCCTGTTGGGAAAAACGATTTCCGTTGCTTTCATGACAGTTTTCCAAAGTTTTCTTTTTATTTTGTTAGTACAAAGTTAGTGCGTTTTCTTCGGACATTTTCAACTGACTTCTAAAAGTAGGAGATATTCAATATTTTTTTATGTAGTGTTATTACTTAAAAGAAGTAATTTTCAATTGCACTATGTATATATATGTATATATAGCTGTTCCCGCGACTTCGTCCGCGTGGAAATTAACTATATTTTTCTAAAATATGTTTTTTTTAATTAAAGGAGCCTTATTACATCAGTTACCTGCCAAAAAAGAGTGAAAATCAGTCCAGCCATTTCAGAGATTACCCGAAACAAACAGACAGACAGACAAAAATCGTAAAAATGATATTTTGATGTAAGTATGTATAGTATTTATATTCATATGCATGTAGTAAAAAACCGTTATTTCAATATTACAAACAGACACTCCAATTTTATTTATATGTATAGATATTTCATTGTGTATAACGCGTAACATGACACGTTATTAGTAAAACAGCAAAAACTAAAAGTTACATGAACTATTTTTTATTGTTAACATAAATGACACTGGAATCGTAACATATCCTTTGGAAATGCATGAAAAAATATGTTCCTCAAATTCAAAGAAATAGCAAACCAATATGGTTAAACAATGTTGTCTTTGTTTTGCACTCAACACTTAACACTGCTATGCAATAAATTTATTTTCTCTTTTGTTTTTCATATTTATTTTATTATATATATGAATAGATAATAATTTTCTATATATTTTATGCCTATATGTCATACCTATTTCTTATTTTATTATAGTTTTTTTATTTTTTTAATAATTATTACTATTTATTATAGTTTACCTAACATATAATATTTGTATATCTAAAAGCTGCAAAAAGGCAGTAAGAAATTAAGTAAAACAATTAACAATAGTATAATTAATAATATCCTAGTTCCAAGTCGCTGAAAAAAATGTTATTCTATTAATTCATTTTCCTCTCTAATAAATGTCAATCATATTCTGTAGATATAAGCGTCAAAAGGCTCAATTTACACAATTCCCAAAACCATTATCTCGTATATTTTAATTAGAAATTCAATTCCGCGGTTTCTTATTGTTCTGGCCCTGAATCACGTTTCTCCTTGTTAAATTAAAAAGTATAACCACATTTTACACTTTCTTAAGCATTTATATTGCTACATCTAACCACGGATATTTGGGGGATTGTTAGTAATCTTGACCTCCACGCGGTTCGCCCTGAAAAATATCGTGATAAATTTTTGTGAAATTGTCATGCGACGGTTACTATCCTTTATTAGTCCTATGTATTAGGGTTATAGTCATTCCAATTGTATAAAAACTACTACAACAAAATTATAACTAATTCGGGACAGCTAAAGTCCAGAGTACTTTTAAAATTTAGTGACAAATCAGTACATATTCCAAAAACATAAAAGAGAAAAAAATTCAGTTACAAGATTATAGCCATTCCGGGATATGAGCACACTAACTTTCAGAGTACTATTAAAATTAGAAATGAATCTGTACTAATTTCAAAAATATAAAAGAGAAGAAAATTCAATAACAATTCTTATATTATTAAATATATATTGATTATAGCCATTCAGGGTTATGAGCACACTAAATTCCAGAGTACTGTTAAAAATTAGAGACGAATCAGTACACATTCCAGTTTGCCATTCAAAGTTGTAAAAAAAAAGCTTCAACTGCTATCATTGCTGTTCCTGCATCATTGACGTCGCCGCATGATATTGGCTGATATTGCAGCTTCTCGTTCTTGGTTGGCCGATTCTTGATTCTTGATAAATAATTAATTGTTAATGTCAAACCTTTTTATAAATTATTATAAGACGCCTCATTGATTATATGTAATGAAATCACCATGAGCTATAGAGATTTTGGACAGAACCTTAAAAGACCTTAGTAAAAATTAGAGACGAATCAGTACACATTCCAAAAACATAAAAGAAAAGAAAATTCAATAACAAGATTATAGCCATTCCGGGATATAGGCACACTAAATTCCAGAGTACTGTTAAAATTTAGAGACAAATCGGTACATATTCCAAAAACAAAAAAGAGAAGCAAAATCCAATAACAAGATTATAGCCATTCCGGGATATAGGCACACTAAATTCCAGAGTACTGTTAAAATTTAGAGACAAATCAGTACATATTCCAAAAACAAAAAAGAGAAGCAAAATCCAATAACAAGATTATAGCCATTCCGGGATATGAGCACACTAAATTCCAGAGTACTATTCAAAATTAGAGATGAATCAGTACTTATTCCAAAAACATAAAAGAAGAGAAAATTCTGTAACAAAATTATAGCCATTCCGGAATATGAGTACACTAAATTCCAGAGTACTATTAACATTAGAAACGATTCAGTACTCATTTCAAATACATAAAAAAAGAGAAAATTCTATAACAAAATTATAGCCATTCCGGCATATGAGCACACTAAATTCCAGAGTACTGTTAAAATTTAGAGATGAATTAGTACAGTATATTCACTATCAGGAATGGATTATTCAATCAACTATACTGCCGATTCCCGCTTCACTGCTTTTTCATTTAACTTTGGTTCTGATCGTCACGGCTCAAATACCCTTGTTTTATGGCTGCGGAAATTTGAATATTATAGGATTCTCTACATGTTTGGAGTTTGCTAACAATCAGTTGCTCTATGGTATTCCTTGACAGATTTGAAAAAGGTTTCGGCGAAAATATATAGGTCACATACTTTACAAGGAAACTTTAATGTGTCAAGGTCAGATATATTTTTTGACCATTTTTATAATCAATTGTCTAAACAATCGTTGTGTTGTATTTATACTACTAAATATTTTTGTTTTTGCTTTTTTTTAATAATCTACACGATATTGAAATATTTTTTGTTTTATTCTTAAGTTGGAACAAATAATATACACCTATCGCTCTTTACTATGTGACATTTGCTGGGTAAATTTTATATCGTATTTGTCGCCGATTTCTTTATATAAACTATATTTTCCATATATAAACTATATTCTTAGAAAATTGCATATAATTCCTTCAGTCGTTTTAACGTTAAGCTTGATCTTATACAGACATTTTTCGCCACGTTACGATTTTATAATATGTACAAGAAACAAAAACTAAATCCTAAACCCATTTTAACTATGAGAGTGTGCTTTTTTTAATAATGTAATACATTTTTTTGTATTACCTTGTAAAATAAATTATCAAAATCTTATGAGTATTGTAAAAAAGCGTTCATTAGTCATCATTATTCATTTTTTATGCAATTGGTGGAGATTTGTATTTGAAACTGCTGAAAAAAGTTTTGACATAATTATGATTTAACAATTTGTTCTTACCTCTTTGTCGCAATTTTCAGACACAGTCTTCATGTGCTCCAGCTTCTTTTTGTTCTTGAACACTAAAGGAGTTACGGTCGTCATGAACCCAGCCTTCGAGTATCTATTGTTCTTTACTATACCAACCTGTGAAAGGACACTGTTTGAGTTTTCTTTGTATTTTTATTCTTTTCAACCGTCATTTCGGTGTATTACTTCTGATTTTGTTATATGACGATTTTTGTTTGTATTATTTTATTTTTGTATTATATTACTGTATTTTTTACAGAGTAAACGTTTTACCTCATTATCAAAAGCTGAAGCGCATCACTTCGTATACAAAAATTATTAAATTCTCAATATTGTTGCAATATTTTTCATTACAGCTTATCCTATTGATCGTACTGTAATATTATATATTAATGTGGACTGATGATCTTATAACAATGTACCATGTCAGGTTGACCTCCACGCGGTTCCCCCAGGAAATCATCGTGACAAAAAATCTTGATCAATTTGTCACAATGGGCTAACTGACCTCACCTCATGCTCTTTATCATCCTCCACATGTTATTTTTACTTTAATTTCCAATCTAAGTGACGCTGAAATGACTTCCACTCAGCATTTATGATCTAATTAGCCTAGAAGCTTGTAAACGGTGTTGTTATGTTATAACAAACTCTCTTCTCTGCTGTTATTCTCACTACGCAAACTAACAATTTCAATGCGATGACAAATAGTGCCCACAGTTGTGCGGCAAGTCAAACACAAGGCGAATAATTCAAATTAATTAATAGGGCATACAAATATTTGTTCAAATAAGTCTCGGCATACGGAGGTACCTCTTGCTGAGGTCGTGAGGTCGACTTATTTAAACATATGTATTTATTACTAACTACATCCCATTTCAGTTCATATAAATAGTACTTTGTATTGATATTGTATACAAGCTATTACCCGTGACTTTGTACTCGTACAATTTAACTTTTTAGTTATTTAAATAAGATTTCTAAAATTAAAGTGGTTTAAATTACTCCTCATAATATTAGGTATCTGTGAGTGTAAGTCTCATCACAATCGATCTAACCGTTTCAGACATTAGCAAGAAGTAGTGGAAATCTGTTAACTTGAAATTACAAATAGACACTTCAATTTTATTTATTTGTATACCATAGATGAGGCTTCTGTATACTAAATTTCATTAAAATGTGTACAGTAGTTTTTACTTGAAAGAGTAAAAAGTATCCATTCATCCATCCATACTGACAAACGTAAATACGAAATGTTTACAGTTAAACAGCTTGACCAATTTCAATACAGTTCTCACCAATTAGTCCTATAACTACACTGCCTTACCCTACAACCAAAGCACACATTACAAAGCAGTTTTTTTTTAATTTAGGTTTAGCACAACGCCTTACTTCCGATGGTCGCGGGTTCGATTCCTTGCACGGAACAAACATTTGTATTCAAGAGTATGATTGTTTGTATCGGTCTTGTGTGTCGGTGTTTTCTTTGTATAATATGTATGTATTTACGAAAAAAAATATATCTATGTACTTGTATCAAGTTATCTAGATCCTATAACACAAGCTTAACTTGGAACTAGACGGCGCTGTGTGAATTGTCCTGATATTATTATTATTATTATTGTTACAAAACAACAATGCCTGACAATTAAAATTATGTGACTGTGTGCTAAAAAGCAGTATACCTTTATGCCCACACAGAGTCTTCATATGCTACAGTAAAATACTCATATGATGAATTTATGATAGGTATATGAATATATAATATAAAATATTTCATTATTTTAATCTACAAAGTAAGAAAGAAAGAAAAATATTTTATTCAGTGCAATATAAAAAATACAATATAAACAACAAACGAAAAAAAGAGCAAATAAAATGTATACCCACACCCATATATGGACTTTTTACAAAGTCCAAATATGTGTGTGGGTAAATAATTGTTAGACCTACAATGAGAGTCACTGGCAGTTTTTATATATTCTTTCATCCATATTCAAAATATGATGTTCTTTATATACATTTTGTTTTATAATACTTCTGTCACTGTAATAAAAGCTCTGCAATAAAAGACGTATATACAAGCATCTCTCTATTGTCATTTCATTTTTACTATAATAATTATTTACCTTTTCCAACAGGCATTTGATGATGCAAGCAGCTTTTTCAGGATATGGCGGATCATCTCGCAGGTATTCTAAATCTGCCTCGGTCGCCTTAACATGGTCCATACAAGATCTGGCCGTGCTAATCAGTGTCTTGCGGACCACCGTGGTGAATGGATTCTCTGTAATTTTTATAAATATTGAAACAAAAACAAATACGTTTTCCTATATGTATAAAGACTATATTTGCTTGGATTTTTTTCAAGTTAATTTAGTCATTATTCTATTCTTATAGTGATTTAATACAGCGTTTCACATCTGATGGTCGCAGGTTCAATTCAATTTCATTCGTACTAACATTTGTATTCATGAGTAAGATTGTTTGCATTAGTCTGTGTTTTATATGTACATAATATGTGTGTTTATAGAAAAAAATTATCTAAGTATATCTAGTACCCAAATCACATTAAAATAAATATAATTTCTGAAATAAAAGTAGGTTAAGTTACTTATTATACTACTAACTATCTGCGATTGACAGTACCACCGAAATTGATTGAACAGATTAAGTGATTAGCACGTACAACAGAAAGTCAAAAATTCTTTAAATTACTTCTCGATGTAAGTGTCGTATGTCTTTGACTTTGTCTTTGACTCTTTCAATAATAAATATTAATCTAACATATTTTAATTTAATATGAATCTAATTAAATTTTATTAGTTGAATAAATATTACAAAATTCAATGTTTTATTTGTCATTGACTTCAATAATAAATTTTAATTAAATTCAATTCAATTAAAGATATTTTGAATTTAATTTAATTTATTCATGTAAGCCTATTACAGACTCTTATAATATGTCAAATCTACCGTCAGTTCGGAATGATTTGAGATGAGAAGAACTGACAAGCAACTCAGCTCGTATTCCTTTCAATAAATGTTGTTTCAATACATGTTTACAATAATACAGATTCATTTAAATTCAAATTTGGGAGAATAGAGCCAACCAGCATATGTTATTACAAAAGCTAATGTAATATATTTTATTTTTATACAATTGTTATTAATTTTTATTTATTTATATTGTCAAATATCGAATGACCACTCACCTCTCTCCTCAGCGAGCACCGTACAAGTCACACAAATGAAAAATATCACGACACAGTATGGGCGCGCTGCAAACATTTTGGGCGATCACTTTTACAAAACGTTACACGAATAATGACAACAATTTCGTGGTATTTACCGAACAGGCATCAAGATATAATCTTTCCCTCTCATTACACGAATAAATGAATGCCATAGAAATTGACAATTTCGGAGTTATTAGAGCGCAATCTTGTGTCCTTTCGTGTGCAAAAAACTAATATCATTGGTATGTTTTGATCATTTTTATAGCACGGAATTGTAGTTTTAATAACAATTTATAGAATGACGAATATATGAACTATTCAAATAAATAATGATACAAATGTATTTACCGGTCATATAATAACAAAAGTAATCTAAATCTAAAATGGAGTATCCATTACATAGTATAAAACGAAGTCGTTGTCGCTGTCTGTCAGTCTCTATGTATGCTTAAATCTTTAAAACTACGCAAGGGATTTTGAAGCGGTTTTTCTAATAGATAGAGTGATTCAAGAGGAAGGTTTATATATATGAAACATGTACACCCGTGCGAAGCCGAGGCGAGTAGCTAGTATATTATAAATACGTTCACAAAATGACTGAATAGATTTTAATAAAATTAGACATAAAGATAGATTGTATAACGAGGCTATCCTTGTATTTAAATATCTTTATTCATTTAGGTCTATTATATAAAATTACTACTTTTGCCCGCGATTTTACCCGCATGAAATTTATAGCATGTGTTATTGTATGTAAAATTAACAAATATCCATCCATCCACAAACTTTGGCGTTTATAATATTAAAAAAACAACATTTAATTAAAAAAGAATCATAAATATCGGTTGACTCGTGAATGTTAGGCTTTATAGTTATCTATTACAATGGCATCTGCATAGACTATAGGCGTATAATCAATCACTTTAAGGGACATAAAGCCAGACATACATGTTATGGTCTACCTGCAAAGGGACATTTGTCTCTATAGACCGTATAGTGCTCTGTATAGTCGTGCTAGACAAAGATGCAATTACTAATCTAGTCACTGCAGCGGAAAATCGCTACAAGCAGAGGAACGGTTGTTGTCCAATCGAATGTTGCCTGGACGTGACATATGACATTGTTTGTGACAAGTAATTTGGTAATATACAGCATGTTTGAAAGATATAATTGATAACCTCAGTGATCTAACGGTTTAGCACACTGCTTCGTTTCTGATGATCACGGGTTCGATTCCCCGCACGGTACGTACATTTGTATACATACACACACACACACGCACGCACGCACAGACACTCGCACGCATACTGCACTTACTTGGTTTCGGCCCGTAAGTGTGATGCATAAAAAACCAGCAAAAGCTGTGAAAATGAAGAATAATAATAAAAGGCCATTGCGAGGAATCGAACCTGCGACCATTGGGTCGCGGGTTCGATTCCTCGCAATATCGGTACAAACATTTGTATTCATGTGTATGATTATTTGTATCGGTTTGAGTGTTATCTATCTATAATATGTACGTATTTACAAAAAAAATCTATATATTTGTATGAGTTACAATAACACAAGCTTAAATAGAGAATAGATGGCACTGTGAGAATTGTCCTGAGATTAATTAAATTTTTAACTAAAAAAGCTTACCTACCTGTACTGAGTACCCATTGATGTTATCAATTTATTTAAAGCTCCGTAAATTGTAACGGTAACAAAAAACGGATTCAGTTAAAATTAGAATAAGAAACTCAATTAAAAGCTCGCTTAATTAAAACGGTTGGCGAGATGGTAATCTAACGGATTAGAAAAATAGACAGACATTATTCTTCGTTTTAATAATAATAATAAATAAAGTTATGATATCTGAACTTTGTATTTTATTATAAATTTAATTTGTTTTCATTAAATTATATTTAGATATACATTTACGTTTAAATATTTTCAAAATTTTTATCGTATGATGCAAAGTTTTCTTCCTATTTATATATTTCTATATATTTCTTCTTATTCACGAGTTTTGTGAATGCAATACAATACTATAAAGAGATAAGATTTATATTTTTGTATGTATGTATGTTTGTAATGAATAAACTCAAAAACTACTTTGCTGATTTCAAAAATTCTTTCACGATTAGAAATGCGCGGATCAGCTAGTAAAAAAAAATAATTGTACAGATAATAACTAAGTAGGTCAATAACTTTAATATTATTGTTTATTAGACATATAAAGTAAATTATAATATTATATATTATAATTTACAAAATATTTTGTACAAAGATTTGTAAAGGTGTACATTCACTCTGTATAAATTTCAATAAAGTGTAAAAATAATAACAAATTACATCAATAGCTTTAATATTATTGTTTATTAGACGTATAAAGGCTAATATATTAACTTTTAGTGTACAAAATATTTTGTACAAAGGTTTTAAAAGGTATATATTCACTCTATCAATTACAATAAGGTGTAATAAATCTTTCAATATTTGATTTATGAGTAGACGTGCCGTACAGCAGTTTATTGGGTATTTTTCCATCTACTATTAGGTACTTTTTATTTTATATTTATTTTAATTATTATTTTCACGTACTCTCAAATAGGTTGAAGCTGAAAATAAGTGTTTTGTTCCCTGAACAACGTTCCACGCTGAGCTTCGACCTTTTTGTATTGCTACGGATCACATATAAAAACACAAACTTGTAAATCTTATGTCGTATTATGTATTGTCCATTCTTATGAACATGTTGTATGTGATTAGTAACAAACAAATAACGATATATCTATCTATCCACTTAGTAACTGAGACACAAGTAAAATGTACGTACATATATTGTCTGTAAATTCAATTTCTATTCGTATACTTTAATATTCCATCTCTTGAAAGAAGTATGTTGGAATATATATATGTCAAAGATCATTTGTGAGTTCAAAATATTCGATAGATAATATTATTGTATATATTTTATCGAATTAGATGAAATATTTGGTTCTTTTTAGTTTTCTATTCTTATATATTTACTAGCAGACCCGGTCACGCGTTCTTGTGGCTAAGGTTTTTGAATAACAATATTGCGACTTTAAATTGAGATGTAAGCTATCCTATCTTTTAAGTTGGATCAAATTGCACACAATGTACAAATCTAATTTGAAATCGGTTCAGTAGTTTAGTAGCCCATCGCAGACACACAACGTAATACTTAATTTTTCATCATCATCGCAGCCCGGAAGACGTCCACTGCTGCATTCTTCTCAATTGGATCTATATACCGAACTGGACGGTAGGGAAAAAAAATTGTAATGTAAAAACCTTGACGTTCATAGGCGGCTAAAATGACCTACATGAATAAATGATTTTTGAATTTGAATTTGAACATAGGCGTCCCCCAAAGATCTCTACGACGATCGGTCCTGCGCTGCTCGCATCCAGTGCCTTCGAGCGATCTTGACCAGATTAACGGCCCACCTTGCTGGAGGCCTTCCCACGCTGCGTCTGTCACGTAATTTTTATATATAAAAAAATATATATTCATTTTATATATAGTATAATGTATGTTATTTTCTAAACTATGCAATTCATGCTATACCTGCTACTTTTGTTGCTTTCCTCTACCTATAGGTAGAGAAAAACAGACAAAAGTAGTAGTTGGTGTGTGGAAGACAATGTTTGGAATAAATTTCGCATGCCTCTTACTTGTTATACTGTAATTATTTATATAAAAAAAACATCTATTAAAAAGAGCAACACACAAGTTTCTTGCTCTTTCTTCCTGTGATGAATCTGCATTCCGAATGAGCGGTAGAATCAAAATATGACTATTCAAAAGTGCTTGTAATGAGTTTATTTGAATAAGAAGAAGATTATTTCTATTTCTATTTATACATCAATAGCTCTTATCAGAATAATTTTTGCATTATATGTTTAGTGCAATATAGAGTTTATATATATGAAATGTATCTCTCAAGTAATAAAATTGGTTAAGAATTAATAATTTTATTAATTCTTTTTATTCA